ATTGTGTTACGAGATGTGCACTGCTGTGAAGTCCCCTAGTAGGATGAAATAGCTGTTCAGTGCTCCTTGGTTCTCAATGTATTTTTAGATTAGGTAGATTCGTGATGATAATAATATCACTCAATAACTGTCACAAACACCTATACTAGTAGTGAATATGTAAATCGGCTCTTTTATGTTAGCATTAAATCAATTAAACGAGGTCTAGTCAATAAGTAATCCTACCTCATCACTTTGTGCACCGGGTAAATGAATCGAAACTGTCGGTGGTATAGATGGAGTTTGATCTAATGATTTTGAATGTTTCGATAATGGTCCATTGGATTGAATCGATGGAGAATCAGGACGTTTTCTACTTGATAAACCAGTTGTTGGTCGTTCAGAATTCTGTGTACTGACAGATTCTTCTCCACCAGATAAATCATCTGGATTATCCACTTCTGGTGAAATGGATAAATACATCAGAATATCTTCACATTCTCCATCTTCATCACTGAAATCATAATTAAAATATTCAAATGATGGTTTATGCAAATCATTGATGGGATAAAACAAATGTTTGTTTATAATGTGGTTTATAAAACTTTGAACAGGATGGACATCACAGTAGTTTTTGTGTGGGAAATTCATTAAAGAATCACTTATACAGAATAGTTTTTTTTTAAAGTATCACAATACATGAGAATAAACCAGCATTTGCATTTAACACTTAACTATGTCACCGCTATTATCTCCATCTTAGGAAAAACCAACTTATCTTTATCAACTTGAAGATCGTTGAGAGAATTCTTTCAGTCATTTAAGTATATATACATATCTACATTAATTTGGTATTTGTCTAGTTGTTTTCGCTGACTGAATTGAAACGAAAAAGTTGCACATGGGCTCCAGGACCCTAAGGAAACAAATGGTGTATGAACCAATTACTGGTCACCGACGTTGCTCCACTACTTTGTAGATTAGACCTTTAGGTCGAAGGCTCCGGATGTGGCCCCCTAAGAAAATCACCTGCTTCGGTCTCGGCACCCAGGCAGTATCACAGCCCACACACAAATCAAGTGACTTGTGTGGCGCATATGTATTCGGTGCCCCTTTGTACCAATATTTATGTGTTCAAATAAATAAATAAGTTTCACAGATTGAAATCATGAGTCAGTTGAAGCTAGACCACCATTGAAAACTTGGAAGCACTGGACGGCCGTTTCGTCCTAGTATGGGACTCCTCAGCAGTGCGCATCCACGATCCCGCACCACGCGGGGCTCGAACCCAGGACCTACTGGCTTCGCGCGCGAGCACTTAACCACTAGACCACAAAATCCATTCTGAAAATAAATAAGTAGCAAAAAAGCCAATGGTAGTTGAAAGGATTAGACATAAACAATGGGATCCCAGAAGAGAAATCTATTGAATAGGTATAAGAAAAATTCATGATTGAAGAAAGGATGAAGAGTGAACGCATGTTCTCCACTGAGACCTGTTCCGATCCGTTTTTACCCTACTTCCCAAATGATTATTTGTTATACTTACGTAGAACATAATTAGGTAGTTTAAATCAACCAACAGCCAATAACATTATGGGATTATATGATATTATGGCTTGGTCGTCAAATTATCTTTACACCATTAAGTATCTTGCATTGAGGTTGGCAGTGGTTGGGCATATCCCAACCACCTCAGTTGATGAAGACTCACTACCTCATCAACCGATTTGCCATCTCATCCTAGTAACCTGTGTCTAAATTCAAGATATTTCATTCGATGGTTAAAACATTATGGTGTGAATCACATGTTTGACTCTACTGTTAGATACAGGAATTCAAGATAGGAAATCGAAACAATGTTGTCTCCAAAATACGAATAAAACGGGAAGGCGAATATTTTCAACCAACACTTGGTATATAGGTACCTTAGATAGAAGCTCATTGTAAGTGATGATAAAAGGCTAAAGTATAGCACACCTAATAATTTTATATAATAAAAATTGTCATGCAGTATGGGCTACTACCAAATGGATCTCAAAACCAACTAGTTTGATTTTAACATTGATTTAACAATTCAATTACACTACATCAATACTATCTAAGTCTACTCGATTTCAAAGAATTGATAGAACATCAATGACATTTATAGTGGAAAAAAAGGTACATCACTATGAATGTAGACAAACAAAGCGTATATATATATTGGATAACGGCTAGTCGCCTCCCAAATGCCCTAATACGGCCGATGGAGAGAGTCCGCTTTCCCTCTCAAAATGCTCTCCCATATATAGTCACTGTCTCGCAAGCCTTACTAACTACCTTACAGCAGGGGTGTTTACGAAACCAATAGGACGAAAAGCGAGGGTCCGGCATTTAAGCTGTGTTGGTGGCTAAGGTGGATCTACCTAGGGGAAATGAAGAATCCTTATTCTAAACCAATGGTGTACATGGGTTACAGTATCCTGAAGGAACAAATGGAGTATGAACATATTCTTGGTTATTGTCTTTCATGAGACCACGTTTCCTAACGTTGTTGCACTACCTTTTGGCTTGGAGAGTGGTTCCCTATGAGAACCATTTGCTTCGGTTTGGACACCCGAGCAGTATTCCAGCCAACGCAGAAACCCAATGATTTGTTGTGCAGTACATATATATTTTGGTGCCTTTTTGTACCGATATTTGTGTTTAAATAGAATAAATAATTAGAAACCAGGACATTTATTTTATTGTATTTGGTTTAACTTCCCATTTCACTGTCGATATTCCTCGATATATGAAGGACTAACCATATACAAATATTGAGTAAAGCGCACTGATGAGGAGTCCCACCCATACTAGGATGAAACGGCTACCCAGTGCTTCCAGGTTTCTCATGATGGTCTAGCTTCAATTGACTCATGAATTCAACTATTAAATTCTATCATTACTACTAATAGAGAACAAACACTACTCAATTAACAATACTCGTTTACCTGCTTAGTAGAGCTTGTACCGGTTCCATAGTTTCAATATCGATTTCTACATCCTCTTCTTCATCATTATCTAAGAAGTCAGTACAATAAAGAATTGTGATTTAAAGACAAACTATTTCATTTTTTTTAAATTTCAAAACATGTTAATACAACCTAATAACTTTATGCACAAAACTAGTAAATTATTAAAATGAAAACAATTCAACCATATAGAGTTATATAAATGGGATTATATAATTACTGTTAAAACTGGTATGTTATTCTGAAACATCGTGAAGTTCATTGTTACATAACAAACTAACTATAAGAAATAAGGAATAAAATTTCATATGAGGTTAGTTCTTTTTCTGACAGAGCTCCACAACCAACCATCCAGCTCAGAGAACAAAACTTCACACATTGACATCATTTGGAGAATAGATTTTTCGTCTTCAGCAGTATGCATCCATCTGGACGATCTAGACTTCGTAGATGATCTGGCCCTCCTATCGCAATCGCAACAACAAATGCAGGAGAAAATGACCAGTGTAGCAGCAGCCTCAGCAGAAGTAGGTCTCAATATACACAAAGGGAAAAGCAAGATTCTCTGATACAACACAGCATGCACCAATCCAGTCACAATTGACGGAGAAAATTTGGAAGATGTAAAAACCTTTACGTATTTGGGCAGCATCATTGATGAACAGGGTGGATCTGATGCAGATGTGAAAGCGCGGATCGACAAAGCAAGAGCAGCATATTTACAACTGAGGAACATCTGGAACTCAAAACAACTGCCAACCGACACCAAGGTCAGGATTTTCAATACAAATGTCAAGACAGTTATACTGTATGGGGCAGAAACGTATTGTGGGAGAGAACAAACCAGATCCCAGTGGAGGAAGAAGCGCTGGAAGTGGATAGGACACATATTGAGGAAAGCACCCAACTGCGTCACAAGACAAGCCCTCACATGGAATCCTCAAGTTCAAAGGAAAATTGGAAGACCAAAGAACACATTACGCCGGGAAATGGAGATAGACATGAAAAAAATGAACAAGAATTGAATAGAATTAGAAAGGAAGGCGGAGGACAGAGTGGGTTGGAGAATGCTGGTCGGCGGCCTATACTCCATTAGGAGTAACAGGCGTAAGTAAGTATGCATCCATAATTCTATACCGTAGAACTTTCACATAATGTGGTGAGCAAGATACCCATTTAAATCAATGAATTTGGTTGATATTTCCTGATATTTTTAATCAAAGTGAGTTGTGATTGATCAATAACTGTCGACAGATACGAACAACTCCAATAAATATAAATATCCTATGTTGTAAAATTTATTCCACCTATTGACTGTTCTGTATTGTGTATTGTTCTGGTCGTAATTTGATTTCTGACTGAATGATAGGATAATTAGGTGAGTATGTATATCGCATAATCAAATATTGTAACCTAGTAGTCTAATGCTAATAGCTTAAACAATTCTATTCTTCTTCTTCTTCTTCTATGATATTTCTAAGAACAGAGTGAAGTAGAAAATTCAATGGAGTTTATTCTTATTTGTGGTGAAAACTAACTTCGGAATTGTATAAACACATATTTATAATTTCAATAGTTGAGATCATGAGTCAGTTGAAGCTAGAACACCATGGGAAACCTGGTCGGCTAATTCGTCCTATTGTGGGACTCCTCAGCAATGCATATCCACCACCCCATCTCGCGAGATTCAAACCCAGCACCTATCAGTCTCGCGCGCGAGCGCTTAACCGCTAGACCACAGAGCCGGCATCCAACGGTGTTAATGTCTAACTTCAACCAATCCACGAAATTGAACGACACATTCACCATTGTCTTCAGTGAGTTACTATCTCACAACAGACCTGGTTGAACTCCACTCATCACGACTTCTCACTAGAACTCCAGGAAATATCTCTAGCAATCTGACTAAATTTTGTTGTAATCAATTAATATTTCTTTGAAAAAGACTAATAGCTGTACCTGATAACCCCACACAAGTTAGAGTATTTAAGTTTTTTTCATAATCTGATACGTTGAACATACAAATTAATACAAATTTGTCACCGTTTTTGAAAGTTACTAGATCTTCAAGAACACTGATAGTCTGTCATTAGTGTCAGTGCGATAGAATACTAACAACGCAGGTTGAACCTAAGCTCAAAGTAGGATACACTAATTGGTTCATTTTCAACCAATCAGTATTAATTGTTCGTAAAGAGAGCTCACTAAAAGCTTTTCTGATAAATTTCATACACACCCTTTTGTGTGTCCTTCACTGTATATTTTAGTGTGTTGGGTATTTCGGAATATATACATTATCTCCACTCGATTCTCGTTCTGAATCGGAACTTTACATGTTTTTCTTATTTAAAAAAAAGCCTTTTCATTGGATAAAGTTGTTAATCCTATGCATAAAACTCCTCTATCCAGGCTTGGAATCGGCAGTTACCTCTATAATAGCTTCAAGTTGATTTGAGTAAACTATAGCATCAAAGAAACGATAGTGTTTTGATTAATTCTAGAAGAAAACTTGTGAAGAAGTAGATGTTTGAAATTCGACTAGATAGTCAGTATCTTAGACCTTCAATACTGAAGTTTTACATTTTCATTGTTTCAGAACATATCGTAATAGTATAAACGAAAATATCTTTATTCTAAGGTAAAAATAAAAAAGGCTTCACTCAAATTGTCGGTTGATCACTAATTTCTTTTTTTTAGCTAGATTTATTAAAATACTTTTATTGACTTATATCATTTATGGACGACTTATGAGCGACGCTAAAGTGACCTTGAGAGTGTCTACCTACTTACTAGGGCTAAATGAGGGTTATAAAACAGTTTGAAGAATAAGGATTATGATTTACAGATGATAGTTAGGGTTAGGAATCACATTCAGGGTTTTCATTACGAATTGACATCAGCTATAATGCCAAGACGCTATTTGACCAAATGTGTGGGTGAATTTCGCGCCAAAATCCAAGACCTATTATCGTAAATCTGATTGATCCGTCCATAAATTATAGTCACACCTAATTTATTTGTAAATTGACATTAATTAAACCATGGAATGCACCTTATGCATTACAATTTATTTTGTGTTCAACACATTGATTGTCAAAAAAAACAAGTCACACACACACACACAAAAGAAAATAACACAATACGTTAAAATACTAAAAGTTAGGAAACTTATCTCTTTATAAAGTGTGACAATTGAGAAGTTAAAATAAGTTGCACAAAATTGTTTTAAAGTGGATAAGAAATAGTGTTATGGAGTTAAGAGATTAGTAAATAATGCAAACCAATAGCACAAATATATTCAAAAATCATCATGACTCAGTGACCTTTAGAGTTTGAAATGATAAGTACATTAGATACCTACATCTAATTAATGTCAAATACAATGAAGTCCGCATCTTTTATTTCGTTTCTGATCTAATTAAAGATGGCAAGTCAGTTGATGAAATAGTGAAACTTCATCAGTTGAGATGGCTGGGACATGTGTTACGTATGCCAAACCACCGACTGCTCCGATGAGCGATGTTTTATGGTGTAGGAGTAGGTTGGAAGAAAGCTAGGGGCGACCGGACCAGAACGTGGCACAAATCCATGAAGTCACTGAAAGGTGGACTAAGCCATGTTGGCAGATGTAGACTACCCGGTTGGGGACCGCGAGATGATAGCAACCGATGGTTAGAGACCTTGAATAACATGGCTCAAAATCGTTTGCAATGGCACAGGTGCATACACTCTTTGTGTTCTCCCAAATTCTTCATGTCCCTTTCTTTTCTCCTTCCAGAGTTATTTCACTAGATTATACTCCTTGAATAACATCTCCAAACCTTAATCTTTCCAATTACTGCTTATACTTTTGCTACCTCTACCACTATGGGATTTAAATCAACAATTGCATCTCTGTGCTAATATGGTATAGCAACTGGAACTGATGTATGTACACACGAAGTTCTACATTGTTACTGACTGATTTATTTCTAATCTCCAGTATAGATGTAATCTACTACGATGTATCCGTTGGAGATCAAATAAAAGCGATTAATCGAATTCGCTTCTAAGTATTAACATGAAAGAAATAGAAATCTTTACAATACATAATAAGGAAAGGTGGTGTAACAGTTAAACCACTAGGTCAAACCTACTTTCTCATATTTTGAAACTGTTACAGACCTAAAACTGAATAGATAAACTTATACTTGACAAAGTTTTCTAAAGATTGTCATTTCACAAGAAAACTAAATAAAAAAAAAGGTTAATCAACTTTAAAACAATCACTAAATAGGATTAAGAAAAATCTAAACTAAGTTATAGACTGAAACCTTCTCGCTGGATCGATCATGGAAGTGATCAAGAAATAAAACTATTCAGTTTTTGTTTTTATTAAATTCTCACTTCAAATGAATAAAAATAAAACACCAATAGCAACAACGAAAAAACCAAGGAAAACTGTAATGTGATTATGTAGTCTTTATGTTAGACAGGTGAATAAGTTAGAAACAATAGTAATGCTTAAAGAGTAGGAAAGTGCATAAAGCATTATTGTATATATTAGATAGAGCGGGGGGGGAAGTAAAAACAATAGGACAACTCACAACATTTTGTATGCAGTGATTTCAAAGAGATTGAGTCTGTAAAAAAAGCTGAATCTTATAACAAACAATCTATGAATGTGTTGATGATGATGATGATTACAGTGATTACATAATATGATAATCAAGAGATTATGTCCTTTGGTTAATTTAAACTAAAATTTGAATGACTTTCTATTTAGTAAGGAAAGTATATCCATGAAATCAGATGTTAGAATTGCACTAGTCCATCAAATAAACATATAAAGTAAGGTTATATAAACCTTATTTTGCAAAATTGACGGGCATATTAATCTTAATACCTTTAAAAAATACTAATCACTTATAGAAACATACATTGTTCCATCACTATTTCTACTGCTTAAAATGTAGCTGAAAGTCAAGCTCTTCAGCACAGAGACTTAGGCTGAATTCAGTTCATTATCTGGACAATGAAATGACTATGAAACAGCACAAGAGAACATAGGCGTTCAGTGTATTCATCAACATGAGAGTTCAGAGGCCGCCTTGGTCTTTCAGTAATTCCTCAATCTTCATAGAGGTCAGTGGAACAACTGATACACTTAAGAAAAGAGATTACCTTCGACGTACTGTGTCTTTAGATCTCCTAATATTCAGATGACTTGGACATAGATATCACATATCCCAGTCACATGTTATCTCACAGTGCAAAGGTGATTAGTATAAGGGAAAGGAAAATATAGAGGTAAAGAAATAAAGACGTGGCATCAGTTGATAAAGTCAATAAGCGTTAATCTGAGCCCCCAAATTCCCTGGTACGGTCGAGGGTGGGGACAGTTCGCTCTCCTTCTAGAAATGCTCTCACATGGCCACGCGCATACAGCCTCTGCCAGGAAAGTCCTATTCACTGCCTTCTCGCAACACAAGTGTCGTTTACGAAGTTAAGAGGAAGAAAAGCGAATGTCCGGCGCTTTAACCGGGTTGGTGGATATGGACGATCCACATAGGGGGTTGAAAAACCCTGATTAAAACCATTCGTGCACATGGACTCCATGATCCAGGTGGAACAAATGGCATATGAACCAATTATTGGTCACCGGCTACCATGGGACTACATCTCTTTACGTTGTTTCACTGCCTTGTGGATCAGACCTTTAGGCCGAAGGCTCCAGGTGTGGCCCCCTCAGAAAACGACCTGTTTCAGTCTGGGCATCCAGATAGTATCACAGCCCTCACACAAATCAACGGTAACTGCTACTGGGCTCATTGTTACTGTGCCGGGCATATATATTTGGTGCCCCCTTGTACCAATGTTTATGTGTTCAAATAAATAAACAAAATGAGCCATGTTGGAAGGTTTACGCTTCCTGATTGCTGTCCGTACGATAATCGTAGTCAGTGGCTAGAGACTTTAGGCTTAAAATCGGCATCATTGATGAAGATGCATTCACTTTTTTATTTTTGTTTTCTAGAATTTGAGTTTTAGTATTATTCCATACACTTTATTTTTAATTTTATCTGTTCCCTCTAAACTATACTCTCGCTGACTGACTTTGTCATCATTGATACTAATAATTTAGCTTAGTTGTTTTAATTTTCACTACTGTGATAATTTATGTGTGACAATTTGGACTGGTGTACATTTTTAGTGTTCGGTGGAGAGGTGAAGTTCGCAACAAGCTCTACTAACTATCTAACTGAGAATTTTTTTCATACTAACGTTGGTAAGTCGGGCGAAAATTAAATCTACTATTATTGAAATTTTAATTCATTGTTGACTGTGTGAACTACGAACAGTATATTCTTGAATCGGTCATGACATTCAATTATGTCTGTTTTGTATTTTATGTTTTACAACATAAGAATGTTATTTTAATAGAGAACAGACTCGTTTTTCGGACAACTTACATTATGTTCTCTTCTACCTGAAGTTTGTGCTGATGATGTCGTTCAGAAGAATGATGAAAGCTCCACAACCAAACCATCCAGATCAGAGAACAAAACTCCATTAAAAATTACATTTTGTCTTCTTACATTAGTTCAATTGGGGAGATGGGTCAATAGCTCGATCTCGTGAGCAGTTATCTTTCGGCTACACCGTATTATTGAGTATTAACTACCAGTTGGTATTTTATTTATTCATTCAATTCGTAAAACATATACTATAAAATAAAATTGTGATTTACTAGTGTTTAAGTACGTCCTCACGATCAATGTCGAGTAACAACACCTATTCACACAAACAATTGTCTTAATTGAACCAAATACATAGAAATGTAATAAATTCTGTGTTATGATTGTATGTTTGAATCCTGCCCCATCTATTACGGTTTGGGTAACCGAGTAGTATCACTAGCCCTCATACTTCGAATTCGGCTTGGAGCCACTTACACTAGATTGTACTTAGTAAACGAATTAATAATCATAAGGTTGTAATCACACATAGAGATGCACTTACTTTTGTTCTCTTCAATCATTTTATCTTCATCTTCAACATCGAATTCCGATTCTCTTTCTTCATATTCCACATTTTCATCGAGCTCTTTAAAGTCTGGAGCGAAAGCTGACCAGTTTTGCTGAGCGTAAAAATTTATTTTGAAAAGATTTGACAAATAAAGATTTCGCTTTTCGATCATTAACAGATTATGGAGCATAAACGAATAATCAGATGGTGATTCTTGTTTGTTAGCTTGTTCATTTTACCACATTACCCGATAAAAAATCGATAGTTGATCACTGTTATCAGCTGGATATTCAATAAGAATCAGGAAGCTATTTCATTCTACCTCAGGGCTTCATCTTAAATTCCGAAAGTCTTATTCTAGATGAAGTTATAGGTGCACACACGACTGAAAAGTCTTAAACTAACAAGTAACAACATATATATCTAGTAAGGTTAACTGGATTATAGTCAATAGTGACTGTACGTTACTAGTTTGAATTATTCTATATACGTCATTGTCTGGCTTTCCAACTTGAATTTACGTAGTGATCATAGTTCAAACAATGTAGAAGATGAGTCCCATAAAAAACTGACTGATACTAATATATATTATAATCCTTAGAAAATAAAACCACTTTTGGCCAGTAACATGCGCTTGTCATTAAAAGATCTTTGATTGGCACAACGTGATCACCTTATTACATTCCCGTCCTAAAAACGTTCAGCTTCTTCTACGCTGACCACGTCAATCCTGACTAACAGCATCAATAAAGTAATCCAATTGCAGTTTGGAGCCAGGGAATTCTTAAACTGAATTCAGCCCTCTATGTCGTAGGTGATTCACATTTCATGTCATCAATTTCGTAAACCACGTCAATGGCTCTTCTTATGATGACGCCTACCACTCAGCTAGCCCTAACTGTTTCTTAAATATATTGATAACCCATGCGAGAAACAACGTTCAGTTCACTTCACTACGTGTTTATAGTTTTGTTTTATTTCCTGTGGATACATTGCGTCAAAAGAAGTGAGAGTTTTTCTCCCGGACACTGCTTAATCAGGGGCGATGCCCTTGAGCGAGGCTGAGTTCAGAGTTGTTCTGTATGATCTCGGGAAATCATGGGTGATCTTACTCCGTCAAGCTCCCCTTGTCGCTTGATGAGGGCATTCTTGAAAGTACCAACGAAACGCTTAGATTGACCTTTCGATTGAGGGTGACAGGGTGGCGATCAAGTATGTATAATCGCGTTCTTTAAAGAGAAGTCGGAGATTTCCAACATGAATTGAGGCCCGTTGTTTGTAACCAGTGTTCCCAGATAATCAAATTGTCCGAAAAGTTTATTCAACATCGTGATCATTGGTGTGGATGAGGTTTGATGCAATAAGCAAACCTCTGGCTATTTTGTAAACGAGTCAACGATAACGAAGAAATGTTGACTATTTATCGGTCAGTGACATGCACCTGTCATTGGAATGTTTATTAACCCACTGTGTCAGCATTATTGGCTTTTACATAATTCGTACAACTCGTATATCGATAAGAAACAAAAAAACTGTTAACGGTACATGAGTTACATTTTACACATTACCATTAATTCTACTTATGTTTTCCTACGTATCTTGTTAATTTCATCACACTATATAGTATAGTATTGTATTATTAATCCCAATTAGGAAAAACTTAACCTAATAATTGTTTTTATGTCATTTTACTAATCATTAATCTGGCGTTTTGTTTTAGTAAAAGGCGGGAATTTCCTCGATCTATAGATCATGTCAAAAAGAAAAGAATAGGTTGGTGCCCTCGTACGGCCGAGAGTGAGGAGAGTTCGCTCTCCCTCTTGAATCGCTCTCACATGACAACGTGTATATAGCCACTGCCTTGGAAGTCCTAGTCACTGCATTCTCGCGGTATTATTGTTGTCTACGAAATTGAGAGGATGAAGAACGAATGTCCAGCACCTTGACCGTATTGGTGGACACGAAGAGTCCACCTAGGGAAGTTGGAAAACCCTGATTCCAAACCAATAGTACACATGGGCTCCAGGAGGAATCGGAGTTGATCGAATGGCATGGCTCGGCCATGCAGGAGTGGTCTCTGCTGAATGTTACCTTATATCTTCTATTCAAATTAAATATATAGTTCTTTCTCTAGCCTAACCTAGTTTTTCATCATGTATTGGTAGTTGTTACGATACAGTGAGTTGGTGTAGACGATGATGTGACTTCCACGTAAGATCTTATAGATTAGGCAGTTATATCATGACAAATCTACAATTTTAGGAGTAGGTCTATCATTAGAGCAGTACTAATATCATAGTAGACCATAATTCTACAGGAGTACAGATTGGCTAGTAGAGGGACAGGCAAAATCCAAATTGGGGATATAGTTGAATCCAGCTCTGTCAACTTCAAGCCTATCTGGTGCTAGTTTATTGAGTCCAGAAGTCACAAGTGCCCCTCAGTTTTGATTAGATAGGTTACTGTTAGTTTACTTTTGGAATGTTGAGGGTGTGATTTGGTTAACTTTGGAATTCCGCGAGTGTAACCTAGTACTTAGCAGCTACAGCACAAGGTTCTATTTTCGGACACACAATTTCAACATTTAATATCGGATGGCAAGAAATATAATGCCTACGAAAAATGATGGATTTAACAAACACTTAGGCTATAATGTTTTCGGCCAATTATTGATCAACCACCTTAAGTTGTTACGAAGTCATCAGCCACGTTTCCGCTACATTTTTTCAAGCACAGGTACTTTGTGTAATGGCATACTGTAAAGTGTCATATGATGACCATAGTTCCACATTAGTAAGCCCGACTAAAGAAACTAATAAACCTTATAACTTTCTCGATCGATTTTATATTTATGTTAACCCAGTATTCTAATGGTCCTCTAATTAATGCTCACATGTATTATCGTAATGTTATATTGATTAGTTCTCATGACATACTAGCTCAATTGATAGTAAAAACTGGTCGTCTCTATTAACTAATTAGCTTTGATGGTTCGTTAACAAGCTTTAATAGCATTTACATGCTTCAGCGGCATAGACTTGTTTAAACATCAAGCTCTAGCAAACATGACCTGTAAATGACGTAAATATACATTGACTAACAATGCAATCAAGGACTAAATAGTTATCTGGATCTAATTCTCACTGTTCCTTCACTTAACACCTCATCCTGTTTTAAACTGTGCACTATCCTGTAATATTTTTTCTTCTGACCACTGCCTGCCTAATTTCATATTTTCGAGTTCCATTGCCAAACAACAATGATGACACTACTCCAAAAACATACGGTGAGTTTAAGCTATAAGTTTTCTGCAATCATAAGGTTATTTTAGATGGCTCATTCAATGGCAACCACACAATTATCTGGATTCATTCAATTGTTCTATTCTGAGCGAGTGACAAAAACGTCAACAGCATCAAACACCCTGGAATTAACTGCCATACTGCATGTTTTATTTTGGATGCTTTTGGATCATTACTCCTCACGAATAGCGTTATATATGTTGTCTACTGAATAATCTAATTTTCAAAAATAATCCAGGCGAGTTCAACTATTTTACTGGATGATTTTTTGTACTTAACATGTATATATTTTCCAGTTGCTTCTGCCACATATTTGTAAGTGTCCCTAGGCTAAATGCCCGACCGATGTTGCTACCTTGACGTGGTGGTCAGGCTTGCCTACCGTGATGAAGCAAACGAGCTATACTGGCTGCAACAACCGTCCCACACAGGTCGGTTGAAGAACGGTAAGACTGAAAGCAACAAACCCATGGTCCGAAGGCGAAGTCGTACTGCTGACTGTACAGAGGTGTGACAGCAGTAAGGTGTTTCCTTCAGACAACCAGCATGACAGCGATGCTGCCTTCCCACAAGGAGGGGTGGGGTTAGAAAAGGTCGACCCTAACAATGCACACCTCGCCTTATCCCACGGATATCCGTCTCCGGCGGTAAGGCCCTTTGAAGAACGGAGCTAACACGTCAAAAACCTCCCACCTATGGCGAAGGCGAGATATCCGTCTATCAATAAAAGGACGAGTATACTGCGCGGCAGTCCGTTCTGTTTTAATTTACGGCAGCGAAACAGTCAGTCAGTCAGTCAGCTACAACGTAGGACCAGGCACATATGTGCATCGGTCCAGGTTGCCATACCTCATTAACACAACAAGATGGACACCGGATTCATAGGGGTGGTTAGGTCAAAGGTTGCAATAAGGATATAGTATAGGAAGAAAGAATTAGTTCGTAGAAAGAAAGATATGAAGTGGTTTTAATCTCTTAGTTTAAGGGAAGACAAAGAGTGTATACATCGACGCCATTGTGATCGATTCTGAGCCATGTCGCCAAGAGTCTCCAATTTCCTTTTCAGGTACCTCCAGAACAACGGCAGCGAAACATGGCCATTAAGAGTAGAAGACACTCGTAAGCTACTAGTATTTGACAACAGATGCCTTAGAAATATTGCCGGCGTTTGCTTGGATCACCGGGTAAGTAATAGTGAGGTTAGACGCAGGGTATTAGGGAATGATGGTAAATCAGTTGATAAGGTTGTGAATCGTCATCGACTGAGATGGTTGGGTCACGTGTTACGTATGCCCGGACACCGACTACCACGAAGTGCAATGCTAACCGGTGTTCGGGATGGTTGGAAGAAGGTTAGGGGCGGCCAAACCAAGAAGTGGCATCAGTGCTTGAAGTCACTAACTTGTAGTCTGAGCCATGTTGGTAGATGCAGATTACTTGATTGGGGTCCATGTGACTATTGTAACCAATGGTAGAAGACTCCGAGCAACATGGCTCAGGATCGGTCACAATGGCGTCGGTGTATACACTCTCTGTCTTCTCTTAAACTAAGAGATTAAAATTGCTTCTAATCTTTCTTTCTACAAACTAATTCTTTCTTCCTGTACTATATCCTTATACAAAATCTTTCTTTTATATATTATCACCTCTGAATTAACCACTTATATGAATCCGGTGTTCATCTTGCTGTGGTAATGAGGTATGGCAACTTGGACCGATGCACATATGTGCCTGGTCCTACGTTGTAGCTGACTGACTGACTGGGCTCCAGGGTCCTGATGGAACAAATAGCATATGAACCAATTACTAGTCACCGGCTACCATGGAACTGCATCTCTCTACGTTACCCCACTGCCTTGTGGATCAGACCTTTAGGTCAAAGGCTCCGGATGTGGCTCCCTAAGAAAACTACCTGCTTTAGTCTGGAGATCCAGGCAGTATAACAGCCTCACACAAATCAAATTGGATTTGTGTAGCACATATGTATCTGGTGCCTCCTTGTACCAATATCTATGTGCTCAAATAAATAAATAATAAATAAGTTGGTGAATTTATTACAAGCATCATAAAATAAGACACTAAACAATAAAATAATAATAATAATGAAATCACTAACCACTTGTGTTTGGGCCCATATAGATACTTGTTCTTTAGTCACTGAATTCGATATAGAAACAATAATTGGTCGTAAAGGATGCCAAACAACATCTAATAATGTTTCACCTTTTTGACCATGTAAAATTTTTACTAAAGTTCCACTAGCACGTTCCCATAAATAAATAGAATGTTGTTTCATTGAACCAGCGCAAATGTATTCACCATCGCCAGAGAAACAACATTTTCTCCAATGACTCCTGTTTATATTTGTAATTATGTTTTTAGATTTAAAAAAATAATAAAACAACAGAAGAGATAGAGAAAAAAGTGAATCATGAAAGTTTTTGTATGCACATCGGCAAAGTCCAAGTCGTTTAAGTATAGATAAAGTTTTTAATTGAGATCATGAACCGATTGATGTTAGACTACCTTTGGAAACCTGGATGTACTGGACGGCCGTTTCGTCCTATTGTGGGACTCCTCAGCAGTGCGCATGTTAGACACTATCACCATTGGATGCCGGCTCAGTGGTCCAGTAGGTTAAACGTTCGCACGCGAGACCGAAGGCCCTGGGTTCGAATCCCGCGAGCGGGATCGTGGATGCGCACTGCTGAGGAGTCCCGCAATAGGACGAAACGGCCGTCCAGTGCTTCCAGGTTTCCAAAAGTGGTGGTGTAACATCAATCGGTTCATGATCTCAATCAAAAACTTAATAATCTCCACAACCCCTATACTAGTAATAGATAAAGTTCCCTGAATATTATCTTGTATTTTTTTGATGAGTAAATAAATCTACATACAAGTGACCAATGATATTTGAGTAGATACAAAGAATCCATAATATTAGTCCCTATCTTTGTCTAAATTTTAAGTTAATTATCATTTTTAACTTTCCGTCCGTCTCTGAATACACTTTCTCAAAAATCTATTTCCTATATCTAAACTTCTCGATATTGTCGTCTACCTCATGCCTTTATCACTTTATTAATTGCACCTTATTGTGCTAATGTAATGTCTGGGCAATCTGAACTGATACATACTCATACACACAGTACGATTGTGATAATGATTGATCGATGTAAGAGTATAGGCAAGAGTAAAACTGTAGAGGAAAAATCAATGAGCATAAAGCTGACTACATTGTTGTTATGAAATGATCATAATATGATGGGAAACATACAATGTTTACAATTAGATTATTATAGTTGAGATTATCTACAACAATCTCGATGTTTAATCATTTTGTTGCATTCAATGATCTGTCATTTTCCTGTTCATTTAGTACATGATTATTGTATATTAGGGTGTAATATTTACCAAAAATTTCGTTTCATACTTGAACTTTCATTATAATTGTGTTTCACATAAAGCATATTTCCATGGGATGGGCTACATTAGCATGGTTATAACACATAAAGTGCTGAGTTGAAAAGAAGGTATCGAGACACTAAAACCAGTTTCTTTGTATCAAACAAATTTCGGATTGAGACAAACAAAATAAGGCAAATTTTCACATTTTGCTACCTCCAGTTTTATTTACCGGTTTACATGTACGTATCAAAGCAATTACATTGGAGGAACAGAAAGGAGGGTTCTTGTTTGCATTTCGGAGCACATTCCACAACTGAGAGTAAGAGGTTAACGTGTTTTGTACAGTACAATTTTCCATTATTTGCTTAGTATCAGTCACATTGTTGATACTAAGAAACCGTTTAAAGTAATTAATACTTAATTAGCTTCGAAATGTTTTGAGTCTTTCACTATTAAAAGGTTGAAAACGAACTAATGCACCTAAAATGACAGAATCGTAAATCTAGCACAAGAATGAGAACTTATAATTTTTATCATCCTATTGAGTAATACCATGTCTTACACCCACAATTATTAATCCCTATCATTTTTGCGCTATGTTTCATCTACTCTGTTAATTTAACTGACTTTATATGTTATAATGTAACTCTTGGCACAAATTCCCATTTCTCTCAGTGTTTTTTTCAGAATTTTTGTCTCGATTTTTTATACTAGTTAACGTAGAAATATCCTACATTTTTATATTTCTTGAATATTTATTCCCCTTATTGATCTCTCACCTAGGTTTCATGGTGTGTGAACGGCTTGTATTAATGCCAATAACATCATCGTCTGGTTTATAATACAGTTCTCGACTGTTCGTCGGCAATTATGTGTGTGTATGACGTAAATCAATCGAGTGCCCAGCTTAGCATTATGGTATTACCGTATATTCCTGTCGAAGACAAATCGTTTTTTTATTTTTGCTGTTATAGAGTTAAGATTTTAAAGCTTAGTGTGAATCATCGACTAAGTACATATTTATTTATCGTACAGACGTACTCACTCCTAACTTGGAATCCTCAAGGTAAAAGGGAAAGAGGCAGACATCGAAAGAATGAATAGCACTTGTGAACTACTAGAAAGATCCTAGAACAAAGTTGGTTGGAGAATCCCGGTCGGTGTCCTATGCTTCACGAGGGGTAACAGGAGTAAGGTAACTACTCGGATTTTTAATGAATCACCAACATATTATTGTACATTTATACTTTTTTGTTGTTTTGAGTCTACCCAGTGACCAAATTCTATTGATCATATAGTTCGTATCACTTATCTATTATTTTGTCATTAGAATCCTATTTTTCCGTTATATCAGCAACAAATAATAATTTATCAACATTTCCATCCTGCAGTTGTGCACGCCACTTCCGTTAGTCTGGATATTCCCGGATGTATTTTACATCCGGACTGTATGGTCATATTATTCTACAGAGTCAAGTGGACCGAAAAAAAGTAATATTATTAGGAAGAATGAAATACTGAAAAGTCCCAAACGAGGTATTCAAGTTATTATCCAATTGATGTTAGTCCACCAAAAACCAATTTCAAAATTCAGCCAGTCTTTATAAAGTCCCTTTCTTAAAAAAGAACATGACATTATCCACTACTCAATGATTAATCAATTGCAAATATTTCAGTCCTAGTGGTCAGTCGGACCCCAAACAATTTAGTTTATTTTAACACATAGATATTGGCACAAGGCGGCACCAAATACATATGCGCCACACAAATCTCATTTGATATGTGAGGGCTGTGATACTGCCCGGGTACCCAAATCGAAGCAGGAAACAATTTAGTAGTGATATTGCAGACTGTAAAGCAAAGTGATGCTGATTTTAACACACTAGGGAGCACCAGTTCGCTCAATATTAAGGGCACGAAACCTACATCAGGCAAGGTTTTCTACCGCTACGTCCAACCACCTAACATTTCGATAAAGTACATGTGATGCTGTCACTTAGCTAAGTGGCCATAATCCAATCTGATCGATAGAATTCGATCGAAAGACATGACATATGCTAATACTTAGTGATCAATCAGTTACAACTGATATTGACGATAATGGAAAAAAATACGTTTTAAATTTGTTACAAAACAATTACCCAGTTACAAGATCCTTCAATTTTTTTATCGGCTCCGGATCTGTAACATTTGCGTTTAATGCATCTTCACAGTTATACACTCGAATAACTCGATCAGCACAATTAAGTAGGAAATATCTAAAATTTTATACAAAACACAGACATTTATAAAAATCATAAATTTATGAAATGATAAAGATTTGCAGTTTCTTATGACATTGCATTTTTAAGGCTAGATAGCTAGCTTAATTAGGTCTAGTTTAGAGAACACAAAATTACACAAATTATTATTTATAATGTATACTTGATCTGACAATCATAGAATACTACTAACGTTGAATACTGTAAAGAAATAACGTAGACAAATTTCTATTGTCATCATTAGTCAAAACCAATCGACAAGAGAAAAGTAAAATCTTGAGGACAAGATTTACTAGACCTCTTCAAAAAGACTGGTTAGATATACAGTAACCAAATTCGAATATATTTACAATGCGACTAGTACGATAGAATAACTCACAGAAACATCAATAAACCTTCAAAAAAAGGAAAGAACGTCATTCACAGACAGACAGCGTGGGGATTTGAGAGGGAGAATGTTAATTTTATCTTCAGTCAGTCAGTAACAACGTAGAACTTCGTATGTACGTACATCAGTTCGAGTTGCCATACCGCATTACCACACAGATACAATTGTCGATTCAAATCCCATAGTGGTAGAGGTAGTAAGAGCATAAGCAGTAATTGGAAAGATTACGGTTTGGAGATGTTATTCAAGGAGTATAATCTAGTGAAATAAATTTAGAAAGAGAAAAGAAAGGGACATGAAGAATTTGGGAGAACACAAAGAGTGGATGCACCTGCGCCATTGCAAACTATTTTGAGCCATGTCGTTCAAGGTCTCTAACCATCAGTTGCTATCATCTCGCGGATCCCAACCGGGTAGTCTACATCTACCAATAGGGCTTAGTCCACTTGTCAGTGACTTCATGGATTCGTGTCACGTTCTGGTCTGGTCACCCTAGCTTTCTTCCAACCTACTCCTACACCATAAAACATCGCTCGTCGGAGCAGTCGGTGGTTGGTTATACGTAACACATGTCCCAGCCATCTCACCTGATGAATTTTCACTATTTCATCAATTGACTTGCCATCCTTACCTAGTACCCATGTACTAACAACTGTATTATTTGAGAGGGAGAATGTTAATTTCATCTTATGATCAATAAATTAAGAAGTGTAAGAATGATGAGCTCTTTATTTGTTACGATTTCTTTTATTACGACCCAACTATTCTTGTTGCTTAGCATTTCTTGGACACTGATTCACTCAACAATTCTCCAAATCAAAACGCGGTTGAGCTGGGACGTAATTATATTCTAAATAACAAGGGTGAATGGAAGTAGGAGTCACAATAAGAAAAACGTTAGTACATTTAGAACTTTCACATAAGAAAATTCTAAAGTCTTCTCCAAGTCTTTACTAGCTCTGACTGGTTAAGAAATTGTCATTCGACCTGCCTCAACACAATCTCGCACGGAACATGTCTTAATTCAATTTATATCCCGCTAATGGCACTTATCATACAAAGATCGGAAGCTAATTATAAACCATTTGTGCTAACTTAGTACAAGCTAAGGATATTCAACATTTTGACTATCCTTAAAACACATATAGTACAAATAAGAAGATTGTTTTTTTCGTCAGTCTGTTTTTATTGTCTCTATATACGGCTATTTAAATGTAGAGCTTGGTAATAACAACGGACAAAATAGTCATTAAGTGGCTCACTAGTGTTCAATAATTCGTAGGTTGATGTCCGTTTGTGGTGAAAATTACCTTCAAAATCAAATAAATAATTAAAAATATAAGTACATCAAAGCGAAAAGCATATTGGCTAACAATTAAAGAGAGCAGTTTGAGACTAGTATCTTTCGATTCATCATAAATCCATGGTTGGGGTTCTAGAGACGGTGCGGCTTATTACCTTGAGAAGTTACCATGGATGTGTTGAAATAAACACCAGTAAAGATTCCAATGTAGTTATCTTTTACAGTTTATATAAAATTGACAGGAATCTCCTTAACTTAATAAAGTCTTTCTTGATTGTAGTATTAACTTAAGTATATCTCTTATCATACACTACATGTTCATTTATTATTTTGTAATTTTACTCCCATTCTCACTCTGATTTCTTCACTATGTTATCCTTTTATGTTATGTAATATACACTTTTTTCTGGTACTCATTTGTACCAGAATTTAAGTGCATCAAATAAATAAATACGTTAACTGTAATACACATACAAAAAAAGAATTTGAACTTACTCCCCACGTCTAGCAAATTCTATCGATTTAATGGCAGCATTCGCTGCTGACGTTGATTTAAATGAGCTGATCAACTGGAAATCTTTCGTTTCATATATACAAACCTATATGTAGGAAATGAATGGATTTTTACAATTCAATATTAAATACATTTAAAAAGCTCTTGAAATTAAAGATAGAGAAAATAAAATTATCACTACTATTAAATTACTTAACAATTGAATGACTAACAAGTTTTGGAAAATCTTTGAAAGCAAGATATTATTGTTTATTAAAATCACGAAGCCCCCAAATACCGAGGGCGGGAAGAGTCGGCTCCCTCTCAAAATGCTCTCACATGGCCACACGTATTCAGCCACTGTCAGGAAAGTCCTATTCACTGCATTCTTGTGCCAAGGGTGTTGGTTACGAAATTGAGAGAAAGAAAAGCGAATGTCCGGCGCTTTAATCGGGTTGGTGGATATGGACGATCCACATAGGGGGTTGGCAAACCCTGACTCCAAACCAATGGTCTACATGGGTTCCAGGATCCTGAGAGAACAAATGGCGTGTGAACTTATTTTTGGTCATCGGCCAGCATGGGACTACATCTCCTGACGTTGGTCCACTGCTTTGTGGATCAGACCTTTAGGTCGAAGGCTCCGGGTGTGGCCCCCTAAGAAAACCACCTGCTTCGGTCTGGGCATCCGGGAAGTATCACAGCCTACACACAAATCAAGTGACTTGTGTGGCGCATATGTATTCGGTGTCCTTTATGTGTTCTAATAAATAATAGATAAAAGGATCACGAAATAATACTGGTCTATGAAGTTCGCAACTGTTGATCTAAATTATGTAAAGAACTATCTGACTATCTGAATAAAGTCTACGAAACAGCTGAGAATAACAGTCGACAACTTAATGCTGAAAAAAAGTTGGTTACAGTACGGTTGGGAAAACACATAAAACATAACTGGATTAGAGCCATATACTGTTACATAGTTATTTTGTGTAATTCTCTAATTATTTATAGGTATATTTAACCAATTTTGAATCCTATATTTTGTATACATACACGGCTAGTGATTCTACTTACCTTTTCTTACCGAAATAAATGGAGAATGCTTTATTACAAATAAATGATCATTCAGTTAGCTAAACTGCAACTGACAAAATAAACTTTCAATGTCACATTATTAAGTTTTGTATTTGCCTGTTATCTGAATTAAAGGTATACATTGGTTAACACTTGATTACATTTGTTATGTGATCTAAATCTAGATCGGCCAAATAGTTAATATTCTTAATTCTAAAATCACACAATAATGTGTAAACTAAGTACAGTATACATAAAAAAGTAGTGAAGTTCAGTTAGTTATAGTGGACATAGCATGGTCCATATATGCATCAACTCGAGTTCCCATACTACATCACGAGGAGAAATTAGAGAGATAAATAGCAAGAGTCAACATAATAGTAGAACCAATTATGTTATAAAAAAAATTAAATATCAGAAAATAACGTTCGAAAAGAATAGATAGAAAGTACGATGAAACATTAAAGCTCAAGAATTAGTGCAAGACAAAGGTTGAATGGATCTGTATTGTTGTGAATGACTTTGAACAATACCACCCATCTTCAGTCATTGATCGTAGTTATTGCGTGAACCCCAACCAGGTAGCCTGCATCTACAAGCATGACTCAGTCCAACGGCCAATGACTTCATAAAGTGATGCCATGTCTTGGTATCACGACCGCTTAATTTCCTCTAGACTATTCCTATCCCAATTAACATTTTGCGTCAATATAGGTGGTATTTGGGCAGACATAACACATAGATTCAAGCTGTCACAGTCGACAAATATTCACAACCTTATCAGTTGATTTGGTACATTTTCCTAGTGTCGTACGATTAATCCCAGCAATATGCAATCGGTTATTCCACAACACGTAAGAAATGCTTCAAAGACACATGGCCGAATTGACGTTCATATTTATCTATCTATTTGATTTATTAGCGTAATAGACGGAAACGTCAGAATCTTCTGGTGTCATAACCCTATTGAAATTCAGGTTTCACTTAGTTTTGTAGTCGTTTATTAATAAGTTTGTTAGGAATAACACTTAAACAACCAAAACAATTAAAGAATTATACATTAGTACATCAACATAAGTGATCAGAGTTTGAACAGCAAGGTATTACGAAGATCCATAAATTACAAAAAACAAATATGTATTAAATACCAGAAAACAACTTCGAAAACGGAGATAAGACAGCGTTTATATAGTCAAGTTACATAAAAATTTTCTAAAGAAATATTCTAACCCCTGAGTATTCTATGAACTAGCTGTCTAGTGAAAATTATGTTGGGTTAGTTTTAAAAAATAATTATAGATTCGAATCTCAATAGAAAAACCCTGAACAAACTCTTAAACAAATTAAGAGTTCCGACATCATTGATAGAATATCTATTAAAACGAACTGTCGACTTATTAAATATCCGAAATTCGAGCATTTGAGAAGATAATGAGGAAAAATGATAAGTATTCATGAAATGAACAAAAAATATTGTTTCACTTACTTTGCCTTTTGAGTTTCCAGTATAGATATAACGACCACGACGATCATATGATGCAACAATACTAAGGTCATTCTAAAAAATAAATAACGTTACATTAGGCGCTGAGCTATACCAACTGTATAACGATCAACGATATTGCCAGATTTCTTCGTTATCACTGCTATTATTCCTATTACCTTTGCTATTCAGCTTGTTGTTTTCTCGTCATGCTTATGTGATGTGACGAATTGAGCCAACGTACATCTGTGCCAGACCTTCCCAAAACTTTGATAACCTATTGGTCCAAGGATGGATACCTTGTGGTTGGACGAAGGCAAAAATCAACAGTTAACAACCCTCTGCGCTTAGTTTAGAAACAAGAGAACCAGTAGTTACAGTGATGTAATTATGAGGAGGATATGTGAATAGCTGTTCAAAAAACAACAATGATGTTAACTCTGATTTTGGGACCAAATACTCTGTTCACAATACAGCATTAACATAAGTTGGAAACCAGAAACGCATCTAAGCTTCGCGATGCGTTTTTGAGGGTTGAAGATATTACTCACCTTCTAAAATCAAAGTAGAAGGGAAGCGATTCTAACTTATAACCTAATGATTGAGAAGTGAATGCTCTAACCAACAGCCTGAAAATCTTCTAGATGGTACTGAGAATTATGAAGGGAATAAATTGACGTACTTTGATTGAAACAACTCCCAAAACCTTCCGAGAAATTATTTTAATCAATCATCCTCCCAAGAACTTTCTAGATGAGTGAGCCAACAAAGACCATAGTTGAGGAAGGTTATGAATCATATAAATCAAAAACAGAATTTCAGTAAGCTTAACTCCAAAAGGGGTTTATAGAACATTAACTTAGGTACAAGTGTATGGAAGCCCGGAATGTGACACATTTTTCTCGGGATGTATTGATTATAACTGAATGGTACAAAAAATATTGTAAATAATGATATCGTGAAATCGAAAGACAGTCAGTCAGCTACAACGTAGGACCAGGCACATATGTGCACCGATCCAGGTTGCCATACCGCATCAGCACAACAAGATGAACACCGGATTCATAGCAGTGGTTAGGTCAAAGGTAGTAATATATAAGAGAAAGATTGCATATAGAGATATAGTACAAGAAGAAAGAATTGGTTCGTAGAAAGAAAGATATGAAGCGATTTTAATCTCTTAGTTTAAGGGAAGACAGGGAGTGTATACACCGACGCCATTGTGATCGATTCTGAGCCATGTCACCAAGAGTCTCCAACCATTGGTTACGATAGTCACGCGGACCCCAACCACGTTGTCTGCATCTACCAACATGGCTCAGACTAGAAGTTAGTGACTTCAGGCACTGATGCCACGTTTTAAGTTTGGCCGCTCCTAACTTTCTTCCAGCCATCTCCAATACCGGATAGCATTGCACGTCGTGGTAATCGGTGTTCAGGCATACGTAACACTTGGCCCAACCATCTCAGTCGATGAATATTCACAACCTCATCAACTGATTTACCATCATTCCCTAATACCCTCTATCTGTCTAACCTCACTATTACTTACCCGGTGATCTCAGCAGACGCCAGCAATATTTCTAAGACATCTGTGGTCAAATACTAGTAGCTTACGAGTGTCTTCTACTCTTAATGGCCATGTTTCGCTGCCGTAAAGTAAAACAAAACGGACTGCCGCGCAGTATACTCGTCATTTTATTGATAGACGGATATCTCGCCTTCGCCATAGGTGACGCAAGTTGGCAAAAGCCAAGCGAGATTTTCGAATCCGTGCTGAGATTTCGTCAGACACCAACCCATTAGGGCTGATCAGACTTCCAAGATAAGTGAAGTTGTCAACGCGTTCGACTACTTCACTCCCTATCCTTAGTTCAGGTGTTGGCGCAGGCCAGTCCTGAAGCAACAACTTGCATTTCGAGGGAGAGAAGCGCATTTCAAACATTCTGGCATTGTTGCTTAGTGCTACCAAAAGACTGCATTTTGTCAGCGTCTTCACCAAACAGGACTATGTCATCAGCGTATTCTAAGTCGATAAGTGGACCTCCTGGAAGGAGATCAATATCCGAGAATTCAATAGACGAGAATGTTATTTCCATCAATAGGTCTATGATGAAGTTAAACAAAAATGGAGAAAGTGGCCAGCCTTGACGGACACCACTTGAGGTTGCAAAAGTAGATGACAGTTCGCCATAAGCTCTGACTCGACTAGTAGTGTTCGAGTAAAGAGCCTTCTCCAGAAAGTGCGTTCGACAGATATTGTAGTACTAGCCGGAGACTTGAATGCTCAGGTCGGGCGTCTAGGCACAGAAGAGAGTCGTTTAGGTGGCCGATGGAGACTTGTTGGTTACAGGACGGATAACGGGGACCGTCTATTGCAACTATGCACAGACCACAACCTGTTTCTGGCTAGCACTAACTTTCGGCACAGTCATCGCCGATGTGCCACCTGGCGTCCTCCCTCTGTATCTCAAGCCTGAACTCAGATTGATCACATCGCGATCAGCTACCGCTGGCGTGGTTGTGTACAAGACTGCCGCTCCTTTTGGAGTACCTATCTGGACTCTGATCATGCCTTGGTCTGCGCCAATCTTGCCTTACTTTTCAGTGGCCAACGAAGTGACCGCCACCAACGGACTGATGTTAGCAAGTTGGTTGCAACTTCTGTTGCAAGTAAGTATCAAACCGAGCTAGCTTCTAGGCTAGCTACCATTCCACCGAAACGTATAGGTGAGTATTGGTTGCAATTGCATTACGCCATGAAAATGGCAGGTACAGTCAGTTGTGGGTTTGCGAAACGTCCAGCTTATAAGCACTGGGTTTCTCCAGGCTCCTTACAACTCATTGAAGCCCGTCGGTCTACTCCGGGTGACCGTGAGTTTGACCATAAACGAAGGATGTTACGTAAGGAAATTGGGCAAAGCTTGCGTAAGGACCGAGAAGCCTGGTGATCGGAGCGTGCTTATGAGCTGGAAGCAGCAGCTGCATCTGGTAACTACCGGAAGCTCTTACAACTCATCCGAGCCACTGGCAGCAAGAAGTCTGGTGTGAGTGAAACAATCTGCGAGGATGATGGGATGCCAATCACTAACATCCATCGACGTCTTGGACGATGGGCAGAACTTTTCGAAGGGCAGTTCAACTGGCCTGCTGCTCCGGCAACATCGGTCAGACTGTCCTGCCCTCCATGGCCGGTGACGACTGATCCACCAAATGAGGAGGAAGTCCGCAAGGAACTCCAACTCTTGAAGCGTTACAAATCACCTGGCCCAGATGACTTACCTCCGGCTCTTTTTAAAGATGGTGGTGACTTTTTGACTAAGGAATTGACGACGTTGTTTACAAAGGTTTGGGAACTAGAGAGTGTATTAACGTCATGGAATGAGTCGATAGTTGTCCCTATCTTCAAAAAGGGTTCACGTCGTTCTTGTAACAACTATCGGGGGATAAGTCTACTTCCGATTGCGTCCAAGCTATTGGCTTCCGTCATACTTCGTAGGTTGTTCAAAACCCGAGAAAGATTGACTCGCGAGGAGCAGGCTGGGTTTCGTTCTGGTCGAGGATGTATTGATCATATCTTCACCCTCCGCCAAATGTTAGAACACCGCCATACTTTTCAAAGGCCAACAATCGTAGTGTTTCTTGACATCAGGGCTGCCTTCGATTCGTTGGATAGGACTGTTCTCTGGGATTGTCTATTGAAGAAGGGTGTGCCTGAGAAGTTTATTACCATCCTAAAAGCCCTATATACAAACACCTCAGGGAGAGTGAGGGCATACAACCACCTCTCTCCATCGTTCCATTCGAGTAGTGGGGTTAGGCAGGGTTGCCCAATCTCACTATTCCTCTTCAACTTTGCCATCGATGACATTCTGGAAACAGCTCTGATGAATGTAAGTAATGGTGGTGTGGATCTGTTGCCTGGAGAAAGACTTCTCGACCTTGAGTATGCGGACGATATTGTCTTACTGTGCGATAACCCCCAAGACATGCAATTCGCGCTTAATCAGTTGGCAATCAGTGTCCGTAGGTATGGTATGTGCTTTGCACCTTCGAAGTGCAAAGTACTTCTCCAAGACTGGCAGGATTCTAACCCTGTACTCACCCTGGATGGTGAGCAGATAGAAGTAGTCGAGAAGTTCGTGTATCTGGGTAGCTGGATAAGTGCTGGTGGGGGTGTAAGTGATGAGATCAATGTACGTATAGTGAAAGCCGGAGTGGCTTATGCCAATCTGGGCCATCTTTGGCGCCTTCGTGATGTTAGTCTGGCCGTAAAAGGTCGGATTTACAACGCGTCGGTGAGAGCAGTTCTGCTCTATGCCTGTGAAACCTGACCTCTCCGAGTTGAGGACGTTAGACGACTTTCTGTGTTCGATCATCGTTGTCTCCGAAGGATTGCTGACACCTAGTGGCAACACCATGTTAGTAATGCAGAGGTTCGGCATCGTGTGTTCGGGCACAGAGACGATAATGCAATTGGTGTCACCATCTTGAAACACCAACTTCGGTGGCTTGGACATGTTCTACGAATGTCGTCCAAGAGAATTCCACGTCGTGCACTATTTACCGACGCTGGGACTGGTTGGAAAAAGCGGAGAGGTGGTCAGTATATGACATGGTATCGTGGTATGAAAGAAAGCTGCAAAGGACTGGCTTCTGTCGATCCTTCACGACTCCCTGGTTGGGGTCCGAGAGATGGTGCAACACAGTGGCTAGAGACGTTATCAGATATGGCTCAGGATAGAAGCCAGTGGAGATCCTGTTGTAACCTTTTACTTTCTTCATAAAAGTGGTTGTTTCTTCCTTAACTGAAAGATTTGTTCTGATTGTACCTTTCCGTTCCCCCATTATGACTATGATTATTACTACACTCCCTTACACCAACCTCTTCATTATTGTTTTCTTTTACGTTCCTCATTTTTTTTTTTCTTAAATTCTCATTGTTTTGTGTGGCGCATATATACTTGGCGCACTCCTGTGCCAATATATATGTGTTCAAGTAAACAAAGAAATACTCGTGACGTCCTTTGACATGTCCCGTTAACTCGCTCAACTCTAGGGATTGAAAAAATGCTATATTTAGTCCTATATTCAAAGGTGGTCAGAGACAGATCGCATCTAACTACCGACCTGTCAGTCTAACCAACATAGTCGTTAAGATACCCTACTTTACCTTCTCTACGTCGATGAATTACCACGACTGCTTGAGTTGTCGACATTATTGTTTGGTGATGTCAAAATCTGGAGAACAATAAGTGAGGCTGATCAGTTTGATCTCCAAGCTGACTTAGACGAATTAGTTAGATGGGCTCGCGGTTGGGGCTTAGAAGTTAATTGTAGAAAGTGTGCTCATGCACATTGGGCATGGTAATAGATACCAGTATACTGTTGATGGTACATCTCTTCCGTGCGTGCAGGAACATAAGTGCTTACGGGTAATAGTAAGTCACGACTTGAAAACAACTACATAATGCAATGCAGCAGCCGCAAAAGGTTTTCGTGCGTTATGGTCACTTCACCGAGCATTCAAATGCATTAGCGAGATGCTTCGAAATTTATATGCCACCTGTGTAAGACTACACTTAGAGTACTGTATCCAAGCAGCTGGTACATTTCTACTTAGGGATATTAACTCACTTGAGTTTGTTCAACGTCTGGGAGCAAAATTAGTGAAGGGTATTTCCAAACACCTTTAAAATGAGCGCTTAAATCGCCTAAACCTTTCCCCTTCATCGTATCGTGGAACGCAAGGTGACCTTAGTTTGTCATCCAGTATCCTTAATTACGATCTACGCGTTAATATTTCTTATCTTTTTGCTCCCTCCAGCAGTAATAATCTTCGAGGTCACAGCAAGAAGGTTCAATAATCGCGATCTAATAAACTTAAAGTAGGGTTCTGTCTTTCTCATCGGATGGTCAGTGACTGGAACGCCTTACCTGAACAAGTGGTATCAGCCACATCAGTGAACATTTTCAAGGAGAAACTGGACCTTCACTGGAAGGCACTGGGAGGATTAACACAGGTCCGCCAACCCACTATCCTTATTACTGAAAACTTAAAATATGTCTGACATCAAAATCGGTAAATTAAGATATTGGCATTGTTTAAATTATTTCTGAAGTATATGAAACACATTACCAGACCTTAAGATTACTAATATGGTGTTGTTTCCTTTCTTTAGTTCGTTGAGTCACAACATAAATGATTATTTAACCTGATGTAAAGGACGTAATTCCTCATATGAATTATCGAACGAAAGTTATTGAAGTTTTTGATTTAGGCCAATAAGCTATTTTGTAATCTATGTAGAAAAATAAAACCTACTTTCAAACTAAACGGTAGTTTGTTAACAAACTAGTTCACTCATTGGATTCTAGGAATACTGAAACAATGATTAATCTACCAAATCCAAATAGAGGTTGAGTGAATAAGTCGGTAACTGTCTGAATAAATGTGTTGAGTGAGAAAAAGACCAACTACTGATTGATTTCAAAGTCAAGTCAACATGTCATGAAAACGGATAAGAATGTTAGGGTCGTGCAGAAAAAATTATCCTAAAACTAACTTCATCTTCTGGTTGTATAATAGTTGGGGCACCACTTGGAACACTGATAACTACTGGGGCATGTCGCATCGGACAAACAAGTAGTTGATCTGGTTTCCTTGCATTGAATTGAACCTTCATCACAGGACAAGGAAATTGAAATGTTTGCTCACAAGCACTCGATAGTACATTCCAAATAGAGACTGTATTGTCAGTCGAAGCACTAAGAAGCTTTTTGCTGTCTCTACTCCAACTAGATAAATTTGAATACTGAATAGGTTATAATTTACCTTAGGGAACAAACTGGGTGTGCATGTGCTACCAGCACTTTGGAGATACGTCTTGTGACATGGTCCCAAATTTCTATTCTTCCATCATTGCACCCAATAGCTAAGAGACTTCCAACTCTATTGAACTGCAATGTTATTGCATAAGTGGCGCAGCCAGCGTCTTTACTTCCATCATCTTTTTTAATCCGTTCTAGGTAACCATCTGCAGCCTGAAAGATGAAGACCGAACTATTTTATTACCTCTGGATAGTTCTGATGAAACGCTTCTACAAAATAAAGCGTGATGAACCGTAAATTGTGAGCCTTACCTAGAAGCTCTAAATTCATTAAGAACGTAACGTACAAGTCGAAATGTCGCGTGATATATAAGTTTACACAAATGGTGCCAAATGGTTTCAAATGGTTCTGGATGAAATAAAAGAAGCTTTCGCTTAACAGGCTTTCGTATCTAGTATTAATGAATTACCGGTGCCTCCATGGGGGAACCTAGGTATATTAACGACAAAGGAGGGAAAAGTTAAAAGTTGGTAAATTATCAGTTTCAGTTTCAGTTTCAGTTTGGGAAGGACAGGAGGCTCGTTGGCCTATGTTAGTCCTGGCAATGGTGGTCTCTCAGTTGATCCAACTTTCTTTTGAAAGAGTCGACGGATGGAGCCTCAACCACGTGCTGAGGTAGCGAATTCCACTCGTTGATGATTCGATGGGAAAGTCGATAGTCAGCTGACAAGTAATTTGTTCTCGGCTTATGAACTTTTTTGGAGTGTCCTCGTAAATTCTCTGTTTCGGAAGACAAGAAAAATGAGGGCATGTTAGGTGCAAATTTATCACTAAGCAATTTGTAGACTGTAATCAAGTCGCCTCTAGTTCTGCGATATGATAACGGGAAAAGGTTCAGCTTGGCCAGTCGAGATTCATACGGAAGCTTCGCTATTGCGGGAACCAACTTAGTCTACGTTCTCTGAACCTTTTCCAGAAGCTCACTGTCTTTTTTAAAGCAGGGGCTAGCCACTTGTATGCAGTACTCAAGTTTAGGACGAACGAACACTGTATACAAAGTCAAAAACGTCTTAGTGTCGACATGACTAAACGCCCTACGTATTGACCATAACGTTCTAAAACTTTTGGCGGCTATTGCACGGCAGTGTGCAGTAGTCTTTAAGTCTTGACTAACGATAACTCCTAAGTCATTATATGTCTGGACGACAGGTAGCTCACTGTTATTCATCGTGTATGTATCTGTGCCTTGATGACCGATATGCATCACAACACACTTGGAAGTATTTATTGGCAACTGCCCGGTTTGAGACCATTCAGATAACTTCTTCAGGTCATTTTGAAGTTCTAAGCTATCATCCTTACATCGTATCGTTCTCCATATCTTGACATCGTCAGCATATAGCAAGACCGATGATGATGGGAGACAAGGAAGGTCGTTTACATACAAGAGGGATAGCACTGGCCCCAAAACTGTACCCTGGGGCACTCCACTAAGCACAGTTTCCCAGCTAGATAACTTTGAGTTCACCCTTACTCTTTGTTGACGCCCAACTAAGAAGTCTTTTATCCACATAAATAGATTGCCTCCAATCCCGACATTTCTTAACTTATACAACAGCCGGTTGTGCGGAACTTTGTCAAAAGCTTTGCTGAAATCAATGAAGGCGACGTCTACAGGTAGCTTTTGGTCCTTAAGAGCACACCAGCTTTCACGAGCCACTAATAAGTTAGTGAGACAAGAATAACCTATTCTGAAGCCATGCTGCTTCTCCGAGGGGATCCGGTTTTTATCGAGATACTTAAACAGCTCCTTCCGAATAATCTTTTCTAATATTTTAACAACCACACTAGTTAGGCTAACGGGGCGGTAGTTCTCAGGTTTGTGTTTTGTGCCTGTTTTGAAGACAGGACTTACTATGGCGTTTTTCCAATCTTTCGGTAAGCGACCCTGCGTTACGGATAGGTTAAAGCATGTACTTAAAGGGTTCGCAACGAAGTTAGATAATTCCTTCAGTAGCCTAGGATGTAACATATGTCAAGTTTTCTCTTAAAGGCCCTCTGGGAAGTCTCTTGAACGAACTCGGCAGGCAGCGAATTCCAGCATATAACTACTCGTAAATGGTAGAATGTGTGCGTACAGTCCGTACCGCTATATTGTACATCCAGTTTCTGGGTGCTACCCATGTGTTTCGTGCTGGGACTGAGTTTAAGTAGGTATTTGGGCGGATTTCCAGAAGTAATTGGCATGATGTGGGGCATTAAAAAGTCACTTCTAATGCTCTTGTACTCCAACGAGTGGAGTGTAGCAGTAAATAAATCCCCAAAATAAATAGCTCTCTAAGTCTTCGACATTGGATGCTGACCACATTAGCCTTAATGGACTCATCTAGCTGAAGGCGCTCGGTCATGCATCCGCACCAGATCACGAGTGGGGACGCTGTGTTCAACATCCCCTGCACTCGCTAGCCGGATTGGATCAGACGATCCACGATATATTGATAGCCTATAAACCCAAGTGTTGCTGTACGGAAAATAACTGGTGATTTGGTCGCACAGTCTACACCCAAGACTGTTCGTCCGGTCAATAAAGAGCCCAAGACTCAAAAACGCGCACTGACCTCCAAACAACAAGTTAATAAACCTGAACCCATCGTGAAACCTGGTAAATTAACAACAGTTCGTGACGATTCTCTCATTATTATGAACCTTGTTGACAATCCTGACCTTCCTCTCAGTCTGCAGGACAAAAACGACAGGATGCTCTGGGGTGAATTGAACATGAAGCTCGAACGTCCTAGAATAGAGCCTTTGACGGTCATCCGGCTCACTCGAGGAAAGGATTCTAAGCATCTAAATCACCCGAGGCTTCTCCGAGTAACACTTAAGAATGCTACCGACGTAGAGGACGTCTTGCTAGCAAGTCACTTGCTGAAATCCGATGGTAACGTAAGAATATTGCCCGACATACCGTACTCTGAGCTCAATAGCATACGGAACATCCCTAAAGTATCTCGCGAGGAGTTCTTCCGCGGAAGAAACATAATTGTGCAAGGTATACCGGAAAATGCAGACCCTACTCAATCAAATTCTGACATCAGGGAATGGAAATCCATCAAATAGTCCTTGAGGCTCAAACACATACTGACTCAGCATGTGACGAGAATAGCCAAGAAGGACGGTGATCGTAGACCCCGTCTAATGAAGATAACCTTCCCATCTCCCCACATGGCGGCTTCAGTTCTGGAAGCATTTCGTGCCAACAGACGTCGATTGCCACCTGGAATCCACATGCACCCGGATAGGCCATATGAGGCTAGCATCAAGCACAAAGGCAAGTTGGAGCTGACCATTCCACTTTTGGACTGTCTAAATGATAAAAAAACGTGTAAAAGACAGGGCCTACCACCTCGGCAAACCTCATATTGGTGGGTTACCTGTCCATTCACATAAGGCTCATACAGAAAAACAGGACGAAGCTCACGCGTTCCAAATTGAAAGCATAAACTGCTTATATATGAACGCCGCAAGTATACCAAACAAACTGGATGAATTACGCGAACTTACTAACGCTAATAAGGCCCGTCTGATAGGAATATCTGAAACCTGGATATCTTCTCAGTTCTCGGACCAAGAGTTAGCATTACCTGGGATGACTTCGTTCCGCAACGACAGAAAAACAGGAATTGGGGGTGGAGTAGCCATATACATAAGCTTTTGCTTGGAGGTGCACCAAGTTCACAACCTCGAGTTTAACAATCTTGAGGAATCCATATGGTGCTCTGTTAGATTGTCTAGTACTTCGAGGTGTCTAGTTGGAGTCATTTACAGGAAGCCAACTGCCGACATCGAGTACGATAGTCGTATGCTGGAAGGACTATCCCGCTCTACCCGTCTCGGTTTCACACACATCCTGATTCTAGGGAACTTTAATCTCCCTAGAGTCAACTTCGCGGAACACACGTACACTGGGGGCGACAACTCAATTGAAGCTCGGTTCTTGAACCTCATCGATGACTTGGGCTTATATGAAAATGTGAGGTCGGCAACTCGTTGGAGAAACAGTCAGACGCCATCGCGCTTAGACTGTGTATTCTCAAACGAAGAATTCCTAGTTGACAACCTCTCGATCCTAGCTCCTTTGGGAAAAAGCGATCATGGAGTCATAGCCTTCAGTTTTGTCATCAAAACTAAGCTAAGATATCCCTCCAATAATTTGCGTTTGAATTTTAAACGGCTGAATGTGCCAGCTCTACATGACTATCTACAACAGGTGGTTTAAGATGTTCACCCTCAACTCAATGTGGACGGTCATTGGGACTTCTTACTGCACACGCTCCTATGTGCTACAAACCATTCAGTTCCTCAAACCGTTCCCAAAAGCTGCAAGCCACTTACAGTAATCAAGAACCGTACCCTTCGCCTGCTAAGCCGCAAAAGGCACTGTTGGGCGGAATACAAACGAACTGATAACGACGGAGCGTATAGACAATATAAACATATCAGGAACATATGCACGAAGGCTATAAGAGAAGACAGGCTTCAGTACCAGACAAAGCTTATGGACAAATTTGCCTCTAACCCTAGAAGCCTATTCCGTTATGCAGCCTCTCGTCGTCAAGCCAAAACAGGAGTTTCCCAACTGCTAGGTCTTAACGGCTCGACCAACAACGATGGCGACGCCGCTAACCTTCTGGCGGCGCATTACTCTCAAACATTTCAACCGGCTGACATCAACTTTACTGACGACAGTTTCATCTGCAATTCCACAGGACTTTCTGAAGTGGACCTAAGCGCTGACTTGGTGTTCCGGAAATTGCAGCACTTAAGACTAGATACTTCTCCTGGCCCGGATATGGTTCATCCTGCCATACTGAGGGAGGCAGCCTCAATCCTGGCAACGCCGCTTAGCGTGATGTTTTCACACTCGCTAAGCCGAGGCAAATTACCGGAAAACTGGAAGTTGGCTCACATCACACCATTTTTCAAAGGAGGTCGACGCAATGAACCTTCAAGTTATCGGCCGGTGGCTCTTCTGTCATTACCTTCAAAACTCATGGAGTCCCTGATATGCGATGGTTTAAACGACTATCTACTGTCCTTAAATTTCTTCTCACCCAAACAGCATGGTTTCAGGAAGGGTTACTCTTGTATAACCAACCTGCTGACTGCGGTGGACAGATGGACAAGCATCCTCGATTGCAAGGGAAAAGTTGATGTCATTTACCTTGATTTCTCAAAAGCTTTTGATAAGGTTAACCACTTGTGTCTTATCAATAAGTTCAAACAACTAGGTATCAAACCACCTCTAATCGATTGGCTTACTTCATACCTAAAAAAATCGACACTTTAAGGTTAGGGTTAATGTCACTTTATCTCAGGCTATGGAATGTCCGAGTGAGGTCCCCCAGGGCTCAGCACTAGGGCCTCTTCTCTTCTTGATCTAC